CAGAGGCATAAAAACAACCCCACCACCACCACCCAGAAATGGAGAGATGACTGTCTCACAGGAGATAATCCTAGCAGCTCTACACACCCAGGGAGGGTTGGGGGTATAACTTACCAGACCCACGAGGGCATTTCCCATTCTCCATGTTTGCTTTGCTCCTGGGAACCCCAGAATGGATTTCCGAGTAGTTCACGGTCACCGTAGGAACCTGGGCACTGCCTCGTGCCAGTCTCAGTCCTTAGCCATCAGATTTTAGAAGTAACGTGCGTCCCAACCATCAGGGTGAGGCTGGGGCCACCATGTAGCCGGCCTCCGGTTCTCGCCTAGTCTGTCTGTTTCTCTGTCTCTGTGTCTCTCGCCTTATTATTGGGAGAAAAGGCTCAAATCACACTCACGGCTCCATGAGACGTCCAAAAAAAAAAAAAAAAAAAAAAAAAAAACGCATACACCTTATGGCCAGTCCAGGCCAAAGCATAGGATGTGTACAGCCTGTCTCATCAGGTCTCTCCTGTCCCCCTCCTGGTTGCTTTTGTGAGAATAATTACCTTTCTGTCACCGTGACAGAATGCTTTTTGTTGCTGGTGCAGTTTGAAAGAGGAAAGGTTTATTTGGGTTTAGGGCATCAAAGGCTCTGTCCAGTCAGTTGATACCATTGTTTTGGGGCCTCTGGTGGGCTAGCACATCACAGTGGGAGCATCAAGGTAGAGGAAGCTTCAGGCCAAAGAGGAAGAGGAATGGACTTCCTTGTGGACTTGTTCCTGGAATCCTAGTACTTGGAGACTGAGACAGGAAGATACAGGTCTAGGGACAACCTGTGCTACATGGTGAATTCTAGGCTAGCCTGGGCTATAAGGATAAAACAGTGTCTCAAAGCCAAACTGGGGTCAGTGAGATGGGTACACCTTAAAGGAGGAATCCCTTCAGTGGCCAGAAGACGTCCCCTCAGGGCCCACCAGCCTCCCAACTGCATCAAGATGAGGAGTTAGCCTTTTACACGTGGGCCTTTGAGGGCATTTGAGATTCAAATGACTGGCAGCTTTTGGTATTCATAAGTCTGAAAACCTGCTTTACTGCTGTTGTCTGAGAAGTCAGGTGTTACTGTGCCAGAAGCAGCTGGCTTAGGCAGGGACAGCTTTCATCCTTTAGGGGAGACATGGCCGCTCTCAGCAACCTGGTCACCCACCCGGTCATGCTGGGCCTCTCCTACTGGAATTTGCGACTCTTCTGTCTCTCTCTCTCTCTCTTCCCCCTTCTTTTTTTAAAAGCATTTTTAAAATTTTATGCATATTGGTGTTCTGTTACTTGTATCCTGTCGAAGGGGGGAGGAGGTATCAGAACCCTTGGAACTAGTGTTACAAACATTTGTGAGCTGCCATGGGGGTGCTGGGTATTAAACCTGGGTTCTTTGGAAGAACAGCCAGTGCTCTTAACCACTGAGCCACCTCTCCATCCCCTCCTCCCCCTTCTTTTCTCTCTCCTTCCCTCCCTTCCCTCTTCCTCTCTCCTTAGTTTATTTATTTATACCTGTTTGTTTTGTTTTTCTTTTTTGAGAACAGTGTCTCAGTATTTAGCGGTGGCCAGCCTGGAACTCATCGCATAGACTAAGCTGGCTTGAAACTCAAATGTCAGCCTCCTGGGATTATCAGGATAATTGTATTTGGCTTAAAGCCATGCACTGTCACACCTGGGTACATTTATTCATTGTATGTGCGTATGCCATAACACACATGTGGAAGTCAGAGGACAACTTGTGAGAGTCATACCTCTCCGTCTACTGTGTGGGTCCTGAGGATTGAACTCAAATCTCCAGGCTTAGTGGCAAGCACACTTATTACTGAGCCGTTTTGGCAGGCCTGTCTTGGGGATTTTTTGTTGTTGTTGTTGTCCATTTTTTTCTTTTCTTTTCTTTTTTCTTTTCTTTTCTTTTCTTTTCTTTTCTTTTCTTTTCTTTTCTTCTTTGTGACGGTGTTTTGCTCTGTAGCCCAGGCTGGTTTTGGATTCATTACGTAACCCAGGCTATCTTCAAACGAATACTGATCTTCTTGTCTCTGCCTCCCAAGTACTGGATATGTGTCCAGGTTTTGATCTTAATTTTAATGTCTTTACTTTTGAAGTTTTTTATTGCTTTTATTTCTTTTGTGTGTGAGGTGGGGAGACATATGTGTACCACAACTTACGAGAGATGGTTCTCTCTTTCCACCAAGTTGCTTCCAGGGATGGAACTGAGCCCATCAAGCTCGGTGACAAGCACCTTCCCCCACTGAGCCATCTCGATGGCCCATGTATATACTTGTCCTTTTGACCACTCTAAACCTGTTGTCTAACAAGGTGGTCTGTAGTTGACTGTTGAAGTCGAAAAGAAGTAGTGGTTTGCTCAAGTTGCTGATGCCCTCAGACACAGCCCCGCCTCATCCTGGGAAGACAGAGGCAGCGAGTACCCTTGTGTTTTAGGGTTACTATTGGTATGATAAACATCCTGACCAAAAGCAAGTTGGGGAGGAAAGGATTTATCTGGCTTATGTTTCCACATAATAGTTCATCATCAAAGACAGGACAGGAACTCAAACAGGGCAGGAACCTGGAGGCCGGAGCTGATGCAGAGGCCACGGAGGGTGCTGCTTACTGGCTTTCTCCTCATGGCTTTCTCAGCCTGCTTTCTTATAGAACCCAGGACCACCAGCTCAGGGATGACACCGCCCACAGTGGCCTGGGCCTTCCCCCACCAATCACTAACTAAGAAAATGCCCCATGGGTTTTCATACAATCATTCTTATGGGGACACTTTCTCAATTGGTGTTCCCTCCTCTCAAATGACTCTAGCCTATGTCGAATTGACATAAAATTATCCAGCACATCTCATTTGCCCAAACTGACCATACTAGATTTCCAGTCCCTGGCACCTCATCAAGGAGCCTTGTTTCTTCCTGACTTGGCTTCACAAAACCACAATGGAGTTTTACTGCTGGTTAATGAGCAAAGAAAGGTCCACGGTCCCTACAGTAGCACAGGACCGTAAGTCTAGCTCTCCAGAGATGGAGGCAGAGGGATTGGGAGTTCGAGGACAACCTGGGATACATGAGACCCCATCTCAAAATACAAAAACCAAAGCAACAACAAAAACCCAAGGGTTGAGGATGCAATTCCGTTGACAGAGTGCTCACCCGCCATGCACAAAGCTCTGGGTCTCATCCCTAGTACTCTGTAAGCTGGGGGTGGGGGGTCCAGGTCTCTAATCCCAGCAGTTGAGAGAAAGGGGCAGGAGAATCAGAAGTTCAAGGTTATCTGACGAGTCCCAGGGTCAAGCCTAGAATCTATGAGTGAGAATTCATTTCTTTTCAGGGTGAGATACGGGTTGTGGCCTGGTCCCCTGGCTTTCTGAAGCAGCCCCTCTCTGGCTGTCCCAGGACCTTCCCTCATTACTGTTCCATTTTATGTTGTTAGTAATGGAACCTCTAGCCTTCTGGTTGGTCTTAACCTGTAGAGCACAGTGGCAATGCCTGCTCCATGAAGCCTTTGTGGGGATCAGATGAGATAACCTCTGAAGAGCCTTGGCATGCTTACAGCTGTGTTATGATGCCGTCCCGATGCGCAGAGTGTCTGATGACAAGGCCCATTTTACAGATGAAGAGCTAAGGCTCAGAGAAGGGAGTCGGCTTGCCCCATTAGCAGCTGATAACTTCCCGTGCTAGAGCTGACACGGGAGAGGGTTTGTGGGCAGAGTCTAGACTTGCTGCCTGGACAGATGTGGAAAGAGCCAGCTCCTGGACAAAAGCAATGTGTCTAGCCCTGGTCATTTTCGTTTTAGCTTACGAACAACCAAGACCAAGGCAGGGGTGGCCAAGCATGAAGGCTTGGGGACAAATGTTGGCCTGGCAAGACTGTTCCAGAAGGCTGGGGAAGGGGCACAGCTGGAGCTGTCCAGGTCACCCGAGCTGCTGTCTGTAGTCCACAGATTCAGCCGCGTCAGCTTTGGATCACAGTTCCCAGGCCAGGTCCCACCATCTGCCTCGTCAGACATTAATGCTCACGACAACTTATTATGTCATCTATTAACAGAATTCTCGCCACACGTGCATCTGGGTCCTGGCCTGGGAGAATTTAGACTTTCTTGAAGGTAAATGGGGAGAGTGCATATTTTCCAAGTCAGGCAGGCGTTCACAAGAGAATGCTTTTATGTAACTAGCATTCCAGAGTGGAGTCAACCGAGATGAGCTGGGCTGTGTGACTGACCCGGCGCTCCTTCCAGGTGGAGGTAAAAGAGATGCTAGGAGTCGGTCCACATCAGATGGGAGGCGGATACCTGTAAGCCTAGCTCTGGGTAGATGGAGGGAAGATGGATCAGAAGTTCAAGGTCATCTTCAGTGCTGTGACGAGATTGAGGAAAGCATGAGCAACATGAAATTGTGTCCTAAAAAGAAGGAAAGAAAGAAAAGAAATGAACAACAGATCTGAGGGATCAGTTCCCCCCTCTGATCAAATTTTGGTAGCAATGCCAGGTAGGTAGGTACCCATCAATAAGTTATTGATTAAATGCAGTGTCTGGGCATGGTAGTATGCCTGTGATTCCCCTGTAGTCTCCAACTGCTAGGGAGCCAAAGCCAGAGCATTGCTTGAGACTGTGAGTTTGGGGCTAGCCTGGACCACATGGTAAGCAAGACCTTGTTTTCAGAAGATAATGGTCTGAGTGTGAATGCTCTTTCTCAGTGTGTGGCACATGGTATGCAGAGAGGGCCTCTGCCCTCTGTTGTTTTACAAGGTTCCATGGGTAGCGTTGTCTACAAAGACAGCCTCAAGTTAGAGTGTTATTTATTGTTTGAGACAGTCTCAGTATGAAGTCCTGGCTATCCTGAACCCACTAGGTAGAGCAAGGTGATCTCGAATTTGCAGTAATCTTCTAGGCTCTGCTCCTAAATGCTAGGCTTGTGAGTGTGAGCTGCCAAGTTATCCAGTGTTCCTGTAAGATCAACACTTGGATGTCTTTGGTCTAAAACGGCTGTATCATGCTTACCTGTCAGAGCAGAGATGATCCAGAAGGTGTTTTCCAAGGGCGAGGCTCCTCCATTGCACTTGGGGTTTGCCAATTCACACACCCTGTGATTCTCCCAAATGATGGAAATTCAACTGTGTGATTTGTGGTAACTGGGGACTCTGTTCATGCTCTCCCCTATAAACATAAAACATAAAATGATTGTACCCATGAAAGCAGTTCAGGACAAGGAGAGGTGTACCCTGGGCCCCAGCACAGCCATTAGTTCCACCACTCCGTTTATTTCCTCTCACCTCTTCATCCGTCTCAGGAAGGCGGGGGCAGGGGTGGGGTTAGGGAGATGGCTCACTGGTTAAGACCACTCACTGCTCTTCTAGATACCCAGGTTCAATCCCTAGAACCTATGTGGTGGTTCATGACCCATCTGTAACTCCAGGCCCAAGAGATACAGCGCCCTCTTCTGCCACCTGTGGGTGCCAGGCTGTGCATGTGGCACAAACATACATGTAAGCAAAACATCCCATACACATAATATAATTAAAAGAAAAAAGTTGTGGGTGAAGCTGGAGAGAGAGAGCCCTGTCATTAAAGAGCACTTGATGTTCTTCCAGAGGACCTGAGTTCAGTTCCGAGCACACACATCAGGTGGTTTACAGCTCCAGGGGATCCAAAGCCTCCAGTGGGTACCTCCACTGATATGCACATACATAATTAAAAATAATTACATCTTACAAAAATGATTCCCACCACGGTTGGAAAGATGAATCGGTGGCTAAAAGTACTTCCTTCTCTTGTGCAGGGGCTGGTTTGTGTTCCCAGCACCACTATAGTGTGCACACTACATGTGTGTACGGTGCACATAGTACATGAAGGCATGAACATACACGTAACTAATAAATCAACTACTTTAAAAAATGATTTCTGGCGCTCTTGCTACCATGCCTTATTTTATATTATTATTTTATTTTGAAACAGGTTCTCTCTCCTTAGTCCTGTCTGGCATGGAACTCAGAGGGATCCGTCCACCTGCCTCTGCCTACTCAGTACTGGGATTAAAGGTGTACCCTACCACACCAGCTATCCCTTTTATTTTGGATCAACAGGAAGCCAGTCTGGGGTTTAAGGAAATGAGATGGAATATGATAGCAATACTATCTCATGGCTGGAAGCACATAATTAGAATTCAGTTTCCTATGACCCCAAAGTTGTTGGTTTTTTTTCTTTCAATATTTTTACTAATTCTTTGAGAGTTTCATAAATGTATACAATGTATCTTGGTCATATTCACCCCATAAGAGCTCCCAGGTCCACTGCCATCCCCTTCCATCTTTGTCGTCCCTGCTTCCGTTTTTTAAAAATGTATTTAACTATTTTACGTTCACTGATGTGAAGGTGTCAGACCCCTTGGAAATGGAGTTATAGATAGCTGTGAGCGGCCATAGAGGTGCTGGGAATTGAACCTTGGTCTTTTGGAAGAACACACCACTTGGAAGACTCTTAACCACTGAGCCGTCTCTCCAGCCCCTCCCCGCTCCCGTGGTTTAAAATATATCTATTTGTTACTTCGTCTGAGCGTGACTAAGTGAGCACACACTTTTAATCCCAGCATTTAGAGGGCAGAGGCAGGTGATCTCTGAGTTTGAGGCCAGCCTGGTCTGTATAGCAAGTTCCAGACGAGCTAGGGCTACATAGTGAAACCATGTCTAAAACAGGGTTTACTTTTATTTCATGTTTGTTTGCCACACGTATGGAGGCCTGGAGTCGTGGGTGTTTATGAGCCGACATGTAGGTGCCGGGAGCCAAACCTGTGTCTGCAAGAGCAGCAAGCGTTCTTCGCTGCTGAGCCATCTTTCTAGTCCTTTGTGTCCCTCTGTCTTCCTTCCTTCCTTCCTTCCTTCCTTCCTTCCTTCCTTCCTTCCTTCCTTCCTTCCTTCCTTCCTTCCTTTCTTCCATTACAGATGGTTGTGAGCCTCCATGTGGTTGCTGGGAATTGAACTCCAGACCTCCGGAAGAGCAGTCAGTGTGCTCTTAACCACTGAGCCATCTCTCCAGCCACGCACGTGTCCTTTTTTCATAATAATCCAGTTTGTGCTCATTTGTTCATGGGTGTGGCTCCATTCCACTGGAGCGCGGTCAGCCTACCAAGGGCCCCACCCTTAAAGTAAACGGACTGTCTCTGAAAGAATCACTAGCCCATCCTTGCATGCCGAAATGTTAACTGGCTTGATCTTCAAGCAGCCGAAGCTGCTGTACTTCGTGAGCAGCCGCGGTCCTGTTCAGGCCAGGAGTGTCCATTGTTTGTGCTCTGGTCCTTCCCAGCTTCTAGCTGCTACCGATCTTTACTGCCACCATTTCTGTCTCAAAGGCCCCAGACACAGGGACCTCCTTAGATAGCCAGGGCTGTGGGAGAGGTTTTGAGAGGTGATCAGGCTAGTTGTGAGAATTCCTTGCCTCACAGGCTGAGGCATTAAGGCACAGGAGAGCCGATCCCCGGACGCACACCACACACGCACACACCTCTCCTCGGCAGTTATGGGATGTCAACCTGTGCTCTGTTCCCGTGCAGATGACAACAGCAACCAGAGCTCCATAGCAGACGCCTCCCCCATCAAGCAGGAGAACAGCAGCAACTCAAGCCCCGCCCCAGAGCCCAACGCGCCTGTGCCCGGTGACGGCCCCGAAGCCAAGGCTGATGAGACGCAGGCTGATGGAAAAGAGCACCCTGGAGCTGAAGGTACTTGCCGTCCTGAGACGGGGCACGGAGGGGCTGCTGCTGAGCCAGCCTGCAGCCAGACAAGCCACAGGTGTTTTAAGAAGGCTTTGCCATGTGCCAAGCCCAGACCATGACTGTAGAAAAGTAAGACCTGGTTTAGAGCCATTTAAAAAAGAGAAATCAGACGATTGGGCTGGGTTTGAACTCTAACATCACATAAGCTGAGCATGTTTTATACGCTTGGGATCTTTGCACTTGGGAGGCAGAGGCAGGAGGATCAGGAGTTTGGGCCAGTCTGGTCTACATACTGAGTTCCAGGACAGCCAGGGCTACACAGAGAAACCCTGTCTCAATAAAAAAAAAAAATAAAATAAAAAATAAAACAAACAAATAAAATCACTAGATATTAGGAATGGAAGTAAAAGTCCTGCTGGATTATAAAGGTTAGAAAAGGCTTCCTTGTGGTGACAAAAGCAGGTGAAGGTGGAGTTAGGCAAGTAAAGAAACCAGAGGGCTATCTGGGAGAAGAGCATTATCAGCAGAGAGCCGGTGGTACAAAGGTCCTGAGGTAGAGGTTAGGTCAGTGTGGCCAGAGAAGACGTGAGGGACTAGAAAAGTAAGATGAGTCACAGTGGGCTCAGCTTCAAATGTGGTGAGCTCATAAGGCCACTGTCCCCTGGCTTTGTATAGTCAGTGAGACAAGAGGCATGGGTTGACAGGACCTAAAGAACTGAGAAAGATGATGTGATGCTTAGGGTCGAAGGTGGCAACATCATTATGTGACTGCACCATTGTCTATGTGGGGAGGGACGGTAGCTAGGCCAGCAGAGGAGCGGAGGAGGTGACACAGGCCTGATAACTGACCGATGCTGGGAGCTTCGATCCTAGTCCAGTGGAGGCTGGTTCAAGGTGATCACTGTAAGGCCAGCCTGAGCTACAGAGCAAATGCTGGGGCTAGCCTAGAACAAAGCAAAGAAGTTTGGAAAAGTGGTTCAACAGTTAAGAGCATTGGTTGCTTTTACAGAGAACCCAGGTTCAATCCCCAGGACCCACGTAGTAGCTCACAGCTGTTTAACTCCAGTTCGAGGGGATACACTCCAATGCTGTCCTGGCTTCCAAGGGCACTGCATGTAACTGGTACATTTACATTTAATTAAACTACTCATACACATAAAATAAAAATATATAAATAGGTAAAAGTCTGAAGATATATTTCAATGATAGAACTCTTGTCGAGCATGGCAGGGACCCTAGGTTTAATCCCCAGTGTCTGTCTGTCTGTCTGTCTCTGTCTCTCTGTCTCTGTCTCTGTCTCTCTCTCTCTCACATACAGACACACACACACACACACACACACACACACACGAGGATGGGGTTGGCGGGGGAATGGTGGGAGTTGAAGCTCAGTTGGTAGAGCAATTGGCTAGCATCTAAGAAGCTCTGGATTCTATCCCTAGTGCTAAGTAAACTCGGTGTGGTGGTACCTACCACATGGAAGATAGAGGCATACGGACCAGGAAGAAGTGCAGAGTCATCCTTGGCCACATACTGAGTTCAAGCTTAACCTGGAAAAATGTGTATGCCTTCAAAGAAGAGATTTTTTTTATTATTTTTATTTTCGAATTGCTTTCCACTTGACTTTTGAGGTCATGGTCACAGTAAAGAAAGGGAATCTGGAGGCCTTAAGAAGGTTTCTTGACAGTGATGCCATGTAACCCAAGCTTCAAGGATGAGTTGATGTCACAGGAGGGTACAGAGAAACCAAGTCCCAGAATGGTGTAACACAGGGAACTGTGGAAAGTCAGTGTGACTGCCGGCCCCAGACCTGTACAGGGAGTGCTGAGTGGAAGTTGGAAGCTGGAACGCAGAGGGCTTACCTGACTGACCAGCTGGAGAGTGTGCAGCCTGGACTTCAGCTAAAGGCATCCTAAAGAGTGAAAGTGCATGGTAGGATGCCCGAGAACAGGAAGAGAGGCTCCGCTAGGCTGGACCGGCTCAGATTTAGGTGGCCACCATTTTTTGAGCAGGTGAGAGTACCCATGTGTGAGGTTGGCCCTTGGATAGGGCAGAAGTGGGTCAGTAGGTTGATATACCGAGGATCTTAGTTAGGTTTTTATTGCTGTGATAAAACACTATGGCCATAAACAACTTGGGCCGGAAAAGGTTTATTTCGGCTTACCGTTCCGTATCACAGACTCATATCACAGACAAAGGAAGTCAGGACAGGAACCTGGAGCAGGAGCCGAAGCAGTGGCCATGGAGGGATGCTGCTTACCGGCTTGCTCCCATGGCTTGCTCAGCCTGCTTCCTTATAGCACCCAGGACCACCTGTCCGGAGTGGTACCGCCCACAGTGAGCGAGGCCTCCCATCAATCAAGAAAGTGCTCTACCACTTGTCCACAGGTCGTTCTGATGGGGCATTTTCTTAATCAAGTTTCCTTCTTTCCAAGTGACCCTAGCTTGTGTC